TATTAACAATTATTTATTTCAGCCCTTTGTATTCAGCATGTCTCTATCGAAATAAACCTACGTTTCTATGAAAGTTGAAGCTTTTATTTTTTTGCAGCCCACATAAACTTAAACCTTGTTTATTTGGCCCGTGTTAGCCTTTGAGTTTGACATGCTTAATGTAGGTGCTGTGGGGTGAAGCCCACCTCCAGTCCAGGCCTGCTCACTTCCCAGGTGCCTGGTTCACAGGTGTCATTGTCAGACAATGCAAGAGCCTGAAATAGGCCTGAATAGGTCTGCCCTTCGAACTCACTTGTGGGCATGTTGTAGATGTGACCATCCAGATGGGGGTTCCCAAGAGAGCAGCCTCAGTGTGTCAGGCACTTGGGAACGTGAACAGAACTGGGGCCTCTTTTACTCTCTCACTGGCAGCAACCACCTGTGTAGTCTAAGCATAGTTTGAACTTAGGGGAACATGGAGCTGTGGACCCCATCCTGCCCTGGAAGGGTCTGCAGCCTAAGTTGGGAGCAGAGTACACTCTTCCCAAAGGTTAAAAGTACTAACATATGGTGTGAGTCCATCTGGCAATTTCCAGGAAAGGTACCTCTAGAGCAGTGGTTCTCAACCTTCCTAATGCCGCGACCCTTTAATACAGTTCCTCATGTTGTGGTGACCCCCAATTTCATTATTACAAATTGAACATAATTAAAGCATAGTGGTTAATCACAAAAACAATATGTAATTATATATGTGTTTTCCGATGGTCTTAGGCGACCCCTGTGAAAGGATCGTTCGACCCCCAAAGGGGTCGTGACCCACAGGTTGAGAACTGCTGCTCTAGAGAGAGAGACAGCAAAGCAAAGGTTGCCTTGGGAGTGGGGGGTGAAGGGTGGGGGGGAGAGCAGGGTTGACTGTGGACAGCCTGACGGAACTTCCTGCCATTCTGGAGCACTGATCTGAAGTTAGATTTTAGAAAGAGACAGGCGCAGGCAGGCGAATGCTCAGGGTGTCACAGAGCAGCACTGGCGGGTCCTGCTCTAGGCCCTCTGTGGTGCACAGTCACTGAGCGCTTGCCGGGGCCCAAGCTGTGCCAGCACAGGAGGAATGCAGCCACCAACCAGGCAGGGGTGGCCTCTCCTCACGGGCTTACACTAGGCACTGGACAGACAAAAATGAACAGAGTTCCAGGAGGAAAGTGAAATGTGGCATGCGGGTAGCACCAGGCAGGTGGGGCACAGGGGAGCGCAGAGCCAGGGCTGCTGGGGTTGGGGTCTGAGAGGTCAGGAGCCCGTCTCCCAAAGACTGAAGAATCGTTCAGTGGGCAAGAGCTCACTGCCATGTCTGACCAAGTGGCAGCCTCTGCCACAGTGACTTC